TTCTGCGTGTAAAGCAGGTGTGCTAACCACTATTCTATGGAAACCGCCCCTTTAATTTTTTTAAACGGGGTGTATCATTGCTCAATGGAAAAATGATGGATTTTGTTTTCTGAGAATTCCGTGTCAGAGATGGCACAATGATAAAGCTGTTTCTCCATTCTACTATATTCACAGCATTTTAATAAGTGGATAAGAGAGTCTCCTGACTTTCTGTCTCTTGATGTGGTTTAGGTCTCATTACCCCCCTTTTTTGAATTAAACTTACTACTCTCTTGAGTTTATCTCATTTTGACAAATATATATCTTTTGAGCTATGCTGCTGGAAGAGATGATGAATTTAAAGATTTCCTTCACTAGACTAAGTTTCACAAGAGCAGAGAACATTTTTTTCCTTTTTTTAAAAAAAATTTTTTAATTTTTTTTTAACCACGGTAACCCCAGACCTGACTCAGGTGAGTTCAGTTGCTAGCAACAGAGATCTAAAATAACAGTTGTTGAAAAGAAACAAGTTTATTTTTATTTATTGCAAAAGAAGTCTAGAGGTAGGCAAACCAGGTAACTCCTGTGATTACTGGGGACTTAGGATCCTTCTACTTCTTTTGTTCTGCCATCCTTATTCCATGACCATCATCCTTGTGGGTGTCTTACAGTCCAAGATGACTGGAACTCCAGCCATCTTGCCCTTACACGAAGTAGGAAGCAGTAGAAAGGGGAAAAGGTCTAAAAAACTCCTTGCCTATTGTCTTTCTACATTTTAAGAAGCCTTTCTGAAAGTTTCACCCAACAGCTTCCACTTCTCTCTCATTGGCTAGAACTTAGTTTCATTGCTGCTTGTGCTCAATTCAGCAGTACATATACAAAAGTTTCATTGCCACCCCAAACAGCAAGGCAGTCTGGGAAATGCAGTCTTTTTTTTATTGGGCACATTCCCTTGTTAAGTAAAAGCAGTGTTTTTATACTAACAAGGGGAGAAGTGGTAATATGAGATTGATAAGGACAGTGTAAGGAGTTTTTATGAAGCAAGATTTATCTAATTTACAAGATTGTTATTTGACTTCTACATTTCTCCTTAATGTTAAAAATGTTTTTTTAAAAATTGAAATGATGGTAGATTCCCCTTCAAAGTCTTTACTTGACCAAATAAAAAGTTAACTGTTAGTCCTCTAATATTATTAACATTTACTGGCCCAAGAAACCCAAAACCTAGGGAACTACTGGACCTGTAAGATTCCTCCAACTCCAAGATACTCTGATGAATCTGTGTCTTCAACACTGCCTATATGCATCATGCTCTCGCTTAGAAGGTTCTCATTAGGTAGCCATTGATTAATGTGTCATGTAGGTTCAGCCAAAGTGCTTATGCCCAGTGAAGAATTGCTGCCACCTCCAGGTGCTTGGGCAGGGCTTGCTTTGCAGTAAGGGAGAGAATCGCATTGAAGTCAGAATAGGTAAAGGGGTGATTGTTGTGAGGATATGGGGGAATCTCATGGAAACTACGAACAGAAAAATAAGCAGTCAGTTTGCCTTAAATTTGAGCTTAAACATGGAATGTCAGGATTGGAAGCTACTCTGTATCTCTCCTGGAATAACATGGTCTTTCAACTTTCTTTCCTCTGCCAACCAACTTTATTTACCATATTCTTTCTTCCTCCAGTAACTGGTTGGCATGGGGGTTTGGCTCCTGTGGTGTAGAGGTGGTACTCACTCTCAGTGTTGCAATTCCAAGTTTCCCAGGAATAGCTTGATTGGTTCACTAAGTGTCAGGTTACCATTCCTGGTTCAAGTAGCTGTGGCAAGGAGTGTAGTGATTAGTACAAACATGTCTTCCTAAGGTTCATTCTTTTAGCAGAGCCTAGGGAATGAGCATGTGAGAGAGGAGGCTATCCCATGCAATAGTTATAAAACATTTCCCTTTTTCCAACAATTTTCCATTAATTCCAATTCACCTTGGGCAGGCTTCTGTTTCCTGACCTCAGGTGTTCTTCGCCATCAGGGTAGCAGATTAAATACCCTCACTATTATTTACTCCATTTCTTGAAGCATTTCATGCACAAATATTATTCTTATTGCTTTCTTCTCTAATTCAATATACATTTCCTCAGAATGTTTTAAGAGGAAAGCACAGTTGTGATTAACATGCATAAGCCCCTTGGGTCACATCACCTCCTTCCCACTTCTATCCCACCAAGTACTTAGTGTTAAGGGTGGAAAATTTTCAAGTGAGCCAACTAGCTAAGTCAGCTACAGGGAAGAAATATCTTTAGATACCAGAAATTGTCCTACTTGCTTGGCTATGGTTTAGGAGATGTATTGTATAAGATATGAAGATGGCCAATGTCTGCTTCTGTAATCTACTTACTTGTTAACCAGGGTGTGGTACTAGGTGATGTATTGTGCTAATGGCCAACTTCTGCTTCTGTAATCTGCTTGCTTGTTCTAGGCTTTATAACTGCCTCACTCTCAAACCCCGGGGCTGATCTCTTCTAACCCTGCATGGTAGAGAGTCAGTCGCCGGCTGGCTAATAAAGGCTCATATCATAATTAATCACAATTGGCTCCGTGGGTCTTAGAATTGTTCGTGCCATAACACTTAGGAAGTGGTCTGATATTTAGACAGGGGCATGAGCAAGAGCATAATAACTGGTAAGAAGCACAAGCCCCAGAGACAATTTACCTGGATTTGAAATTCCAATACCTAGTAGTAGATAGTTCTGTGCATCAGTTTCTTTATCTGTGAAATTGGAATGTTACCTACCACAAAATCTCTGTGAGAATTAAAGAAAATAATCGGATCAAGGAGTCAGCCCAGTGCCTGGGACTTAATAAAAACTCATTAAATATTCACAATTGAGATTCCAGAGGCAAATATCAGAATCATGGACAAGACAGTGTTAAGGTTTGGGGTACCAAATGATAGCTGGAAACTAGGTGGGTGTCTAGACTAATTCTAGAAACATGAGTCTTTCTATAATGGCTAGAGTCCAAGATAGTTGATTTTGTTTGTTGAATTTTGAAGGAAGATTTGATGTCAGGAATTCTGTAGCGCTCAGCTGTGGTGTTTTCTCCTTTAGAATGTAAAGAGTCTAACAGATGGATTCAATTAGAATGGATTCTAATTCTTTCTAAAGATGAAATAATTTTTACCTACACATGCCATTTTTGCCACATTATTTAAGTGTTACTGGACTCTGTACTATAACGAAAACTGTTTCTAGAGGCACACATATTGAATTTTACAAGTCAATTAAAAACAGGATTCATATCTAAGTATTTGTTTCTCAGGAAACTTATCAGGCATTTTACAAAGTGATCATCTCATTACTGCTTAAAGTATTAGGACAGCTCCATACATATGGATGCCAGATAAAATGAATGTCTATAAATCCCCATACATTTACATTTGGCTGTTTATATTCTATATAGTACCCATTTAGGTCTAAATTAGGCCTAAATATGATGAAGGAGCCTAGCAACTTTTTGTTAACCACTGAATTAAAAAGACATAAAACTTCAGTATGTCAAGACTCCAATTATTAACATTACAATCACTAGAAATGATTTTTCAGGAAATATGTAAAAGGACCTGAGTACCAAAATACATATTTTCTCTAAAGGGATACATGATTTAACTCCCTCCTTTGTTGGTACAAGCAAAACTTAAACATTAACTTGCTCACATTTGTTATATAAATACAATGACTTTCTTCTTAGGGCCAAGGTGCCATGAGTGTCACTCAAGCATGTATTGCTCGACACAGGCCCACATTGAACTATGCACACATTAAAAAAAAAAGCACAGACCTCTTTAGTTGCTAGGGAGTAATTACAAGAATGGATTTAACAACTGATTCCTTAATACAGTTGCAGATACTGCCAATTTTCTCTCAAATGCTGGATTGGGTTCCTTTTATATCTCCCTTTAATTAAAAAAAATTGTTGCTACCACTAACCTTCATACCGTCACTTACACACTATATACCTTGGTAAAATACTTAATTTCTGAATTCAATTTATTCTTTGATAAATGGGTATTCCTTCCTTTTAGAAGGCTGGAAGTGTTTGACTTTTTATTATATGTCTACAATGCCTTGCAGTAAGTTTTTTTTAAGCATCCTGGCGTTGTAGTTTTATGATCATGAGGCACTGATTTATAAACAAATAGAAGATTAAGGTTAGACTCCTCAAATTATTTTTCACAATTTCAACATGTATGAAAAACCTTCATGCACTGCTAAATTCTAGAATGAAAAAAAAAAAAAAACAAAACCTCACCAAAACAAGCTAATACTATTGACATGAAGTTTACAGAAAATGCTTTCCATTAAGCGGTTAAAATACAGCTTTGAACTGATTTGAACCCGAATCGAATACTGTATGGAATGGATTGCGGGAGGTGGGGGTAGGGTAGGGGATGGGGGTTGTCATTAACCTCCTAGAAAAGATTCCTTTTTTGTGTGACCACAGCTAGAAAATCATATTCTAGGCCTCGTTTAGTGGTTTTGCCTCTCTTACAAAGACTCAATTTTTCTTTTAAAAGTCTAATTTCTATTTTACTTCCCAGACTCTTGAAATAATTGGGCAACAACCCGATTTCCTTCCCGAGTCTTCCTGTGACTAGCACAAAGCCACCCGTGGAAAACTTACGCAGCCACAGCCTCCCCAGTGGCTCCGGAGGCCACCCGCCTAGCTGACTTCCGGCCGAGCGGGTGCTAGGCCCCCGCCCCGCCCCGCCAGCCCGAGATTTGTCCGAATTTTCGCGCGATGCCTCGGGGGTACGTGGGTCCGCTCGCCAGGCCCCAGAGTGCATTGCGGGCACGTGCGTGCGCAATTGCCCGCGCGGCTCCACTGCAGAGAGACCGCGGGAAAATTCCAAAAACGTCAAAACAAAAAGCCAGTACGAGGCAAAGCCAAAGTTTCAAGCCACAGAACCCGAGCGGTGGCGTCCACTGCCCAAACTGCTGAAGCAGCTCTGGGGCGGACCACCCGGTAAGAGAAAGGCCGCAAAACGAGAGTAAAGGCGGCTGCTTCTTTTGGGGTTCTGGGCGACAAGTCAGCGTGGGTATGTGGGTGGGGATAGGGAGGGAAGACTCGCGAGAACGTCCGCCGCGCTCCACGCCTGTAGGTGAGTGAACGAAGCTCTTGCGGTGTGGGGGCGGCGAGGAGGGGAAGTGGGTAGGGGCCTGAAGCGGCGCCAGGCGGCGGAGGGGCGGGGTCGCTGGCGAGGGGGCGGGGCAGGCCCATGGGATGGAGCTGGTGTAGGGGTCACGCGCAAGGGAGTCCGCGGAGCTGTGGGAGCTGGAATTTGGCATGTTGGTTCTTTTTTTCATTGAGAGTGGCAGCTATGTCTTCGTAAAAAGAGGGGTGCAAAGGTGAATTTCGTCGCTCGGGATCCGTGGAAGCTGTGAAAAGCCTCTTTTAACCAACCCATCACCCTCTACAGCTGGCCGTATGCTCTCTTCCTCCCCTTTGCTCCAAGGCGCTGGGGAAGGGGCGAGGCCCAAATACTGGAGCCCGGGGCGTGACTGGTAGTCTTCCCGCCCTCAAGGCTTTTCATCCCAGGAGAGGATGAGAGTTCTGATGGGCAGTCTTCCCCCCACAACTTTCTTTGAATGCCAGGTCAAATCGGGTGCAAAACCCTTGAGAGATTTTTTCGGGGGTGGTGGTGGCTTGCTTTTTTGTATTTTTTATGTGTGCATGTTTACAACCATGAACCCTCTCTGGTCATGTTGTATGGGCATGTGATCTGGAGGGGGAAAAGGATTTGGAGTTTTTGAAACATGGGAAAATTTGGACCATAATTTTAAGGAAAAAAGGCTGAGGAATTTTCTGGCAAAGACCAGTGTGTGCCTGTGCTTTTGTCCTGATTTGAAACTTGGGAAACTCCAGGGCTCCTGGTTTTATTCTCACCTGTGTCCCATTTACTGCATCCAAAGATGTAATTACTTATTTATCAGAGGAGCAGGGCACTTTGGCCCACCCAGCTTCAGCTATTTATGGATGTCACTCACCTTCAGTGATGTGCAGCTCAACATTTTCTCATTACTCCTTTCAGGAAAGGGAGGAAAGGTTGTTAAAATGATAGAATTCATACCATATACCATGTGTTGGGATCATTTATTACAGAAGCTTAGATAGAAAACATGTTCATTGTGACTTTATCCATTAAACTTAAATTGATGTTTCAATCTAGTGTACCCTGCCAGATTCACATGGAAATAAACACATATACATTACTCATATACATGTACAGGAAAGGCTGCATCAAAAAAGAATTTGCTTTTCCTAGTTATATGAAAGGCCTGTTTCCCCCAGAATAAAAGTTAAATCCCACATCTTTAGATGGACTAATTATACTTAGGTATATTATACATTTTAATTCATTTTTTTTTTCAGTATTCAGTCATATTCTTGATTTCTTGAAAAACATTTACTAAGTTTCCAGAAAAGAAAGCCAAGCTCTATGTTAGGATTTTTCGTTCTGTTCTCTAATAAAAAGCATTGACTTGATTGATTGGCTGGATGTGAAAGATGTGATGCTGAATGCCTGTGAAACTGTGCATGTACATTTTTAAATAAATGGTATTTTAAACTAGTTCCATATTTTAAGTAGTTCCAGTAACAATTATACAAATTTCATATTTATGAAAACCAGCTACAGGGAAGCCAAGCCTGGGCAGTAGAAAGTTGGATTGATTAGGCTGCAGAGAGTGCCAGAGAAATCTCACATGTGTGGTAGTTCCAAGTTGGTAGTAGTGAAGCTTCAAATCAGGCTCAAAATCAGCACCAAATGGATTTACAAAATTTTATTTTAGGCTGGGGTATATGTATTCTCTGTTCTTGTTCATGGATCCTGAATGACTGACTTCTTAATATGAAGGAACACCTGTAGAGATACTTTGAGTTTGCAGTGTTTTAATACAAATGTACAAGTAGAGAAGGAAAAAGTTAAAGATCCATCTGAAAAATTAAATAATGCAGATGTTGTATATTTTATGTTCTACTAAATACCAATTTTTTTGACTCAGTTTGGAAGAAACCTTGTGGAGTTATCTGGTACATTCTCTTAGGCTCTTCATAAACTGCTGGGTATGTAGAAATTTCTCCGTTAACATCTCTAATATAGGAATATCTATAATCTTCATGGTACCTTTTTTTCTAGCTACAAGAAGGCAAAGCTCATATGGAAATCATTTTTTGAAATGATATACTGTTTCCTAAAGAATTAGGTGGTTTTTAGTAAATTTAGTATATTTTTTGAATTGTGCAATGATCACCACAATTCAATTTTAAAACATTTGCATCACCCTAATACATTTGTGCATGCAAGTTCGTACTCAGTCCTAGCTCTGGCTTTCAGCTCGAGCAACAATTGATTTGCTTTTTTGTCTTTGTAGATTAGCCTTTCTGGGCATTTCATATAAATGATTTCATAAAATAAGTGCTGTCTTGTGTCTGGTTTCTTTCACTTAGCATAATGTTTTTGAGCTTCATCCATATTGTAGCATGTATCAGTAGTTTATTACTGTTTATCGCTGAAAAGTATCCCATTGTGTGAATATGTTGTGGGAAAATATTCCAAAAGCTCCAAAACCCAGTGCAACAAAAAACCAAGCAGTAACTCAGAGAGAAGAATTCAAATTTATTATAAGCTGTCTCAGATGAGCTAGTGCTCTGAAGATCTGAGCAGTGGGCTCAGTTGAAATATTGCTTATATACCAGAATTTTTACACAAGGTAATTGGTCAGTTTAAACTCAAACTTTTACAAAGGTCGGGGATTGCTATGGAGACTACAAGTAGTAACATTGATAAAGCTGGGAGTTGCCACTGGTTGCTGACAGATACAAATTGTTACAGAAAGCAGGAGCTGGTAGGGTACAAATAGTTACATTTGTGGAGCAAAGGCACAAACAGTTACATTTGCAAGTCGAGCAAAGTGCAAAGGGAGCTTTTGCAGGAGTCCTTGCATGCAGTGAGCTTATTTGCAGAAAGCAAGCATATTTACAGAAGCAGAAAACTGATTAGTTTTTAATGAAATTCCCCAAATTTCCTCTTCATTCCCCCCGTTTGATGCTCATTTAAATTCTTTTAGGGCATCACCTTCTTGTTTTCTCGTTTTGATTTCTTAGACTAGAAACTGATAATTCTATTACATAAAGGTCTTTACTGCAGTTTTTCTTTCTCCTCTGGCCTTAAACATTTGTACATAAAGGATCCTCTCTTTTGGCCTTTACTGCCTCATGTTTTACTCCTGATGATGACAACTTATTCCTTTAAATTTATTTAACACGCATGTTTTCTCGAATCTTATTAAGCTGTGATCTTATTTTTC